GGTAAGACAGTTTTTAGTAATTGGTTATTATGTTCTTATATTTTTGGTATTTGGCAGGTGTTTTTTTTTTGTGTTTTGTTTGTTTTTTTTATTATTGCTGCTGTTATTCTTATATCAGTGCTGGTTCATTTAAAAATCACGTATTTCTGGCTAATTAGGACGCGGGGAAGGAGCAGTGTGTCTTCCCACTGCCAGAGCCCCAGGACCTTTTCCAGCCTCTCACATGAAGTTTGAACGATTTCAAAAAGATCTCAGAAAACTGAAGAAAGACTTGAAAGGTGACTTATCATTTTGAACTCATGTGTTTGTTAGGTTTATTTATTATATATATGCCTTTCAATGGAGAAAAGGCAGACTTTTCAATGTTTTCAAAGGAAAGTAAATTAGTTCTATAGACCTTTTAGCACAATTTTGTTTTTTTTGGCATAGCAAAAGAAAAATGTGCCAATATTCTTATTCTTTTGTTGTTTAAAAAGTTTATATGTATCAAAATTCAGTTATTAAATAATAAACTGGTTTTTTAGTAACAGTCTATTCATCAGGGAGCCAATTTGCATTTTATTTTCATTTTAATAGCCGAGAACACTTTGGCATTCATCATGTCATGGTTGGACACGAGGTTCTGTCATTGTTAAAAGATAAATAGTCCCTCCCCACTCTGCCTTGGCATAGGTACCTAAGATTTTTGTGGCTTACGAACTTTCCTGGGAACAAATTATCTTCTTTTATGTATTTTGTCAAAACATGTATGTGTATATTATTTTATTGTCATCAAGAAGCCTTATATCAAATCATTTTGGAAGAAAAGTTTGAAATTTTTCCGATTCCTAAAGTAAAAGTAACATTTACAACAAAAGCAAATAGTTAACCAATTTTTTTATTTTTTTTAAAGTAAAATCTCTTTATATTCTTCTTCATGAAGGTATTCTTATTGTTATGGAGTTGAGAGAACACTTCAGCCTATCTGTTAAATATTTAAGCCATTTTAGCTCTGTTAAATACAGACGAGGAGGAGAGTAATTTATGTGGAGATTTTCATTTGATATTGTTTACTAGATGA